GATCCTTTGAGATAAAGAATGGACTCAGACAAGGAGATGCTCTGGCTTGCCTCCTATTTAATATTGCCTTAGAAAAGGCAGTCAGAGATACACGAATTAGGGACGGCGGTACTATTTACAATAGATCGATACAAGTCTTAGCATATGCTGATGACATTGACATAATAGGGCGTAGCAAGCGAGATGTTGAGCAATATCTCCTAGAATTGGAAACAGCGGCGAAACAGGTCGGTCTAGTCATCAACGAAGACAAAACCAAGTACATGTTGGTTACAAAGGATCCGATAGCAAATGAGGAATGAGAAACAGTCTTTGGAAGTCATACCTTTGGATGTGTTGACAACTTCACATACCTTGGGTCGCTATTGACTGCTACCAATTAAAACAAGCGAAGAAATCAAAAGACGAATAAATCGTACAAATAGGGCATACTATGGACTCCAAAAGCATTTCCACTCAAGAAACATTCAAAGAAGAACTAAAATTATTATATACAAAACATTGCTGAGGCCGGTCCTCACATATGGAGCAGAAACATGGACACTATCTTTCTGCTCCAGCTTTCATCTTTCTGCGTTAAGCAGAAAGATGAAAGATTTTTGGGAATATTTGAGCGTAAAATACTCCGCAAAATATTTGGAGCTGTAAACGACCAAGGGCAGTGGCGCAGAAGATATAATTTTGAATTGTGTCAGCTCTTTGATGAGCCAGATGTCATAACGTTCATTAAAACATAGCGACTTAGATGGGCTGGACACATAATACGAATGCCAGAAAAATACCAATGCTAAAAAGCTAACCACAGGAACACCTGTAGGAAAAAGAAGCAAAGGCCGACCGCGAATTAGGTGGTTAGATGGAGTAGAAACCGACTTACGAATATTAAAAATCAGAAGATGGCAACATGTTGCCAAAAACCGAACAGAATGGCGACGAATCTTAGAGCAGGCCAAGATCCACAGAGGATTGTCGAGCCAAAGATGATGATGAAATCGCTATAACCCTTATTATTAGGTAGTGGAAAACCCCATTGGTTAAGGTAAACTCGCTTTCAAACTGGACGGGGAATTAATGTTTAGTGTGAGTTATTTAAAAGGCGTTTAATAGGTCCATATTTTTTAAGAATATTTAAAATGGTCAGAGATATGAATAGAAAGATGAGTTATTGTATGGTAACCAGACACGGTGTGGATAGGTGTGTGGATAACAACCCCCACATAACAGCGGTATTGTAATCAATTATCTTAATGTAACATTTCCAAAAAGATGGATTGAAACTAACGGAACCGTCCAAATACATCTAAGATCGTCTGTGCTATCAGCGTTGGATTTTTTGTATGGGACTATTTAAAAGGAATCGTTTATAATGAAGAACCTACAGATGTAGACGATTTAAAAATTAAAATTAGACAATCGTGTACCTTGATCTCGCCAGAGATGATACATGCAGTTTTGTACACGTGAACTGCTTAGACCGTTTGATGCTTGTGTTGCAGCAGAAGGTGATCATTTTGAATACTTCCTATGTGCTGCTTTTGTATTTTTCAGCTTTTCAAGCATTTTACTAGTTCTTCATTTGTGGTAATTTCTGGCGTTTCTAGTTCTACTGTTTTACCGTCATTTATTCTTCTTCTGCAAAGATCTTTTTAAATAGTCAGTAAATGTGTCCGTTTTGATCTGTTTTGGTTTTATTAGTTCCTTTACCTCCGTTCGTTGACCACTTATAAAGCGCCTTATTTTGAAGGCCATAAAAATCTCGTTTTATTTCTTCCGAAAAGCGTTTCCAGTGATAATTTTTTACTGGTATGCCTCTTGTGATTTGGTTGACATATATTTCAGGTAAGGTTTTTTCTTTTAAAGTGAAAAAACAGCAAATATTTGATTTCACGCAAACAGCGCCTTTGTATCTGTTGATACGTATTTCGACCTAATAGGTCTCATCAGAACAGTTATTCAAAGGTATTCTCAACGTGAAAGCTCAATATTTTCTGTCTTTTAAGAAGCAACACTAAAATGGCTTTAATACGGACGCAATAGCGACATCTGACAATAAAACCGTAAAATAGTTTCAAAACTCAATTCAGATTTCCGCTTTTATCTGTGCTTTCTAAAATTTGCAAAGCAAAACAGACGTTGATAAAGGTGTAAAAAGAGACGTGGGGAATCTAAAATTTGCATTCCACGATACGTCTTTTTAACTAAGCAGAAATCCTTAGCGAATTGGTTTCTAGTACTCGTACAGTGTATATCCGAATAAAGTGAAAAGACATCAAATATTTGATTTCACGCAAACAGCGCCTTTGTATCTGTTGATACGTATTTCGACCTAATAGGTCTCATCAGAACAGTTATTCAACGGTGATTCTCAACGTGAAAGACCAATATTTTCTGTCTTTTAAGAAGCAACACTAAAATGACTTCAATACGGACGCAATAGCGACATCTGACAATAAAACCGTAAAATAGTTTCGAAACACAAGTCAGATTTCCGCTTTTATCTGTGCTTTCTAAAAATTTGCAAAGCAAATCATACGTTGATAAAGGTGTTAAAAGAGACGTGGGGAATCTAAAATTTGCATACCACGACACGTCTTTTCAACTAAGCAGGAATCCTTAGCGAATTGGTTTCTAGTACTCGTACAGAGTATATCCGAATAAAGTGAAAAGACAGCAAATATTTGATTTCACGCAAACAGCGCATTTGTATCTATTGATACGTATTTCGACCTAATAGGTCTCATCAGAACAGTTTCGAATCTGAATTGTGTTTCGAAACTATTTTACGGTTTTATTGACAGATGTCTCTATTGCGTCCGTATTGAAGTCATTTTAGTGTTGCTTCTTAAAAGACAGAAAATATTAATCTTTCACGTTGAGAACACCTTTGAATAACTGTTCTGATGAGACCTGTTAGGTAGAAATACGTATCAACAGATACAAAGGCGTTACTTGCGTGAAATCAAATATTTGCTGTCTTTTCACTTTATTCGGATATACTCTGTACGAGTACTAGAAACAAATTCGCTAAGAATTTCTGCTTAGTTGAAAAGACATGTGGTGAAATGCAAATTTTAGATTTCCCACGTCTCTTTTAACACCTTTATCAACGTCTGTTTTGCTTTGCGAATTTTAGAAAGCACAGATAAAAGCGGAAATCTGAATTGTGTTTCGAAACTAATTTACGGTTTTATTGTCAGATGTCGCTATTGCGTCCGTATTGAAGCCATTTTAGTGTTGCTTCTTAAAAGATAGAAAATATTGATCTTTTACGTTGAGAACACCTTTGAATAACTGTTATGATCAGACCTATTAGGTCGAAATACGTATCAACAGATACAAAGGCGCTGTTTGCGTGAAATCAAATATTTGCTGTATTTTCACTTTATTCGGATATACTCTGTACGACTACTAGAAACCAATTCGCTAAGGATTTCTGCTTAGTTGAAAAGACGTGTCGTGGAATACAAATTTTAGATTCCCCACGTCTCTTTTAACACCTTTATCAACGTCTGTTTTGCTTTGCAAATTTTAGAAAGCACAGATAAAAGCGGAAATCTGAATTGTGTTTCGAAACTATTTTACGGTTTTTTCTTTTCTTTACATTTTTTTCTTCAGTTCTGTAAAAAAACATTCTTCTTCGCCTTGGGAATGATTTATTTCTATTTATATTACTTTCCAGAAGAGCTTTCTGTGTGTAAGATATACTTAATTTTTTCCCAGCTCTCTTCGACCCTATCACTTTCCGTGATATATGTAATCCTGCTTTTTTCGGTTATTCTTCTTTCGACTTTTATCTTTGTGGTGCATCACATCACATGTGTTTTGTTATCACATTTTTAACATTATTTCACGTTTTGTTATTTTATTCGAATTTTGCACAATACCAGTTTATTATCGCCTCCTATTTCTGCTGATGTTAGTGCTCTTACATCTAAGATTTGAAAGGGGTGTAACTCGCTATTCGACAGAATATAGTCTATCACAGATCTTTGTCCTTTAATATTTTAAAAATGTATTTGTATTGTTCTTTGTTAGCGAAAAATGTATTATTAATACGTATTTCGTTTATGCTGCAGAAGTCCGTCACAAGTTCTCCGTTTTCATTTCTAATATTTTCATCGCTTTTCATCATTTTCTCATAAAATCGCTGTTTTATTCTTGGGACTATATAACTGCCGATACGGGCATTAAAAATATAATCTTAGTGTCAAATAATTGCTTGTTTCTTTCCCGGAAAGTTAAATGTGTTGTGACTTAAGCGTTAGAATAAGTTTTATTAGTTATATTTTTCTTACTTAGAGTATAAAACTAGTATTGGTATTATTATTTATCGTTTAATCTTTCATTTAAATTGCCGAGTCCGCCTCTGAAAAAAGCCGTTTAAAATAAACTGAATAATCGGTTTATTGGCGCTACTGTCAGATTATTTTTAACTAGTTTTCGGCTGTGCCGTGGTGGTGTTGCAATAACAATTTGTAGGAGATATCGGTTACGCACTTTTCGCTATCCATACTTCACTGTTAATTCTATTGGTAATATTTATGTATATTTAAAATCAACCAAATTTTGAATACTGCATCATTTTAACAGTAGTTCACCGTAGTATACACCGTTCCATATATTTCTTTCCTTTCTATTGTTTCACACGTGACTTGTACTTCCCACTTCTCGTTTTTTTATTATCTTAATAATTATATGTTACTAAAAATCTTAATTCTTAATAAGTGTTTAATAAATAAATATTACGAGATATTAATCTCGTACTACTTATTTATTAAACATTTTGAATACATTTCATGTATCACGCACCATCACGCCCTACTTATGAATGATTATCTTGAATGATGACATTAGAAAACCGGCTTAACTATCGATAAACGTTTACGCGATAAGATTTGATAAGCACATTTAAAATTTAGTGTTCGGTGATAGGTTTAATAAGTGAATATGTAATAGATTTTCAAACCTTATATAAACCAAATATACAATTCCTCAAGAACAATACTGACTGTTGTTTTTAATTGCTCGTAATTACTTTAAAAGTTATGTTGCCAATATTGCACAAGATTTTGTTATGTTTTGTTTTTATCTCGGTTGTTCAAAGCTACAAGGTTTTAATAGTGTTTCCTGGATTGTCACCGAGCCATTTTTTTCTTGCAAATTCCTTAGGGAGAGCATTGGTCAAAAAGGGCCATGAGGTCACTATGGTGAGCCCTTATGAAGATAAACAACCGCTTACTGGATATAAAGAAGTTGTGCTGACTGACTTTTTAGCAGACGACGACGGTATGTAGACTATTTCTATTTTTATATTTAATATTATAGAGAAAGTAGTTACTATCAAGCTGCTTTATTGACATTTAGAAATTTAACAATTACTACCCGGTTTTTTTTATATTGAGGCTTAATCAAAGATGATACCGTTTTAGTTTTAGAGTATTGAACTTTATTACGCCTCCAATTGAGTAGATATTTTGGATTGTTTCAAAAAAAGATTTCGACTAGCAGTGACAACGCTGTCCAAAGTATAGATGAGACAACAAACTTGTCTTGACAGGTCTAGCTTGAAGTAGTATATACTAAACTAATTTTTCAAATGAGCACTCAAACTATGAACAAGATATTATTAGAAAACTAGATACGTGTAGGGGAAGATGTTGTGTCTCGGACACTTTTTTACTCAATTGGGGTTTTGGAAGTTGTTATAAGTATTAAAGCAACCTCACTTTTCTTCTTCTTCACATGCCATCTCCTCTAAGAAGGTTGGCAACCATCATGGCAATTCGCACTTTCGACGCAGCTGCTCTAAAGAGGTCAGCAGAAGTGCAGTTAAACCAAGCTCTCAACTTATTCAACCAGGAGATGCGTCTTCTTCCGCGACTCCTTCTACCCTGTATTCTTCCTTGCATTATTAATTGCAACAAGTTATAATGCTCGCCGCTCATAACATGTCCCAGATATTGCAGTTTTCTGACTTTAACTGTATTTAAGACCTCTTTATCTTTACCCATTCTTCTCAACACCTCGACATTCGTGACTCTATCTATCCAACTTATTCTTAATATCCTTCTGTAGGTCCATAACTCGAATGCTTCCAATCTGTCCGAAACATCTTTCTTTTAAGTCCAAGCATCCAACCCATAAAATAATACGGAGAACACGTAGCATCTCAGAAGTCTTAACTTTAAAGAAATTGAAATGTCCCTGCTGCAGAATACTTTTTTCAGTTTGTTGAAAGAATTTCTTGCCTGTCCTATTCTTGCCTTAATCTCTTCTGTGTACTCATTATTTTCATTAATTATTGTACCCAGATATTTATATTTTTCAACTGTTTTAATTTGTTCTCTATGTATTGTTATGCTTTCTTGGCGGTGTTGGGCTTTTGTAATTACCATAAATTGTGTCTTTTTTGTGTTTAGGGACAGTCCGTTTTCTTCACTGACTTCTAAGACTCTGTTAACCATTTGTTGTAAATACTCAAAATATTCCGCTAATAAAATAGTGTCGTCGGCAAACCGTATATTATTGATTGATCGGCCATTTACTTTTATTCCCATAGTTAGTTCTTCTAGTGCTTCCTGGATTATTTCCTCTGCATACAAATTAAACAAAGTAGGAGACAGGACACAGTTCCTTAGGACTCACTTCCCTAGTGTAATATTAAACTATGGCATAACAGTATAATTTTTGTTAGATATTTATAATATTTGTATTTAAAAAAATTAGGTCACTTTAAAAAATAGTGATAAATTCCAAGGTTCAACGTTGGTGTTGTTCTTGAACACAATCTTGTTGTACCATGGACACAGTATACGATAAATATAAAATAAATTTTATTTGAACAAATTGTTATAAAATGATAAACACAAAATTAAACGAATCAAAGGTAATGAAAAATAAAACTTTTATATATATTAAAAAAATAGAAAGTAGTTTAAACTAATTTTATAAAGCTTAACATCTCTGCAACTTTATCTTCTTCTTCTTCTTCTTCTTCACTGGCTTTACAACTCTGGGTGAGTTTTCGCCGCATCCACTATCGCCTTCCATCCTCTACAATCTTGCGCTTCTATTTCCCATTGTTGTACCCCAATTCTAGATAAATCGGCTTCAACACCATCCTTCCATCTTTTTCTCGGTCAGGCTACTGATCTTCTACCATCTGGTCTTTCAAAAAACACTGTCTTTAACACGGTCATCTTCTGATCGTACCACGTGATCTGCACATCTTATTCGGTTTTCCTTGTTATGTCTGAAAACTATGTTTTCAGTTCCATACAGAGTCACTAATTCAGCATTGTGGTGTCTTCTCCAATTCCCTGTGAATTCATCTCTTTGAGGGCCAAATATTATTTTCAGAACCTTTCTTTAAATACTAGAAGCTTATTGATTTCCCGCTGGTTGTGAGTCCATATTTCACTGCCATATGTAATAATTGGGCGAACATTCGACTTGAACAGTGTTAATTTAGATTTTCTTTTTAGAAGCTTTAATCTTAATAATGTTGAAAAGGAGTATAATGCTCTATTTCCCGCAGCTATCCTTGCTGAGACCTCTTTTTCTATGTGGCTGTCAGCTATGAATATTGCCCCCAGGTATTTAAACTTTTTTACTACTTCGAAGTTGTAATCATTAATACTGATGTTCTGCCTAACTCATGGTCTTAGATTTTTGGTTACTACTTTGTATTTCGTCTTTTCTTCATTTATTCGGAGACCCAGACTACCTGTTTCCTCCTTGAGCTGTAAAAACACCTCTCTCACGTCTCTTGTAAAATGCGTGACTGCACCCATGTCATCAGCAAAGGCCAGCAACAGTTTTGATCTTTGATCATCAAGTCCTCCTGTCAGCTCAGACGATATTTTACTTATTGCATATTCTAAAGCAAAATTAAACAGCAACGGTGACAAGGGGTTCCCTTTCCTAAGTCCTGAATTTATACCAAATGACATGGATGTTCTGCTTCCTATCATTTGATAGCAGTATATGGCATTCTTGTGGTTTTACAATTTTCCCAGAGCGTATGGTTCATTCTCATATGCTCAGTATGTTAAGAAACATTTTTTTGCACACTTTAATTTGATCGTTTTGTTTTCTTAAATAATAAGTAAAACTAGTATTTTCTTCTAGATTTGTTTTCGTTTTTTCGGTCTCGTTTTCTTTGGGGTGTTGAGATTTTACGTTTAGATCTACAAAACATTTTTTTAACCCCAACTCATTTTCCAAAAATTCGTGAAAGCCAACTTTCTGTCTACATCTGATAATAGATGGCATTGTATAACAGATTTTTTTAGGTTGTTTTGATTTCTGGATGATATATTACAAAAACACCTTTGTTTCCAGTAGTACACTTTTTACCTTTGTAAGCAATACCTACTTCTCTATTTCTCTTTTTCTGCTTCTTTTTCAAAACTTTAATAACTTCAATACTTTAACATGTATTTTCTTTTTTCTGCTCTTTTGTAAAGTTTTTTTTGTTTTTTAAAAATTTCATTCTTATGGTTTTTAAACGAGGTGCTCTCTGAATCTTCATTTTTGTTAATTTTAACACCATTCTTTTCAAAATTTGTTTCTGGTTCTTCCTCAGATACATTTTCTACATAAGTGCTTTCGATCACATCTTCAATAATTAAAACATCCGTGTTAAAACTATCTCCAGTTTCACTTTTATATGGTACAAACAAATCGACTAATATAGAAAGTAAAATTCAAATTTATGAAAATCTCGACAGCATTTATGGGATTTTATATTGGGATATTGTATGTCGGGAATTTTTTTACATCTTCCCCCGTTTAAGTGAACACTAGACTGACATTTGTGTGCTTATTTTTAGATTATCCAAACAATGGTGTTAGTTTTGTGATGTGAAGCAGGTTTGAGACTTCTTTTCTGTGCCCAGTGTGCAATTCGTAGATTGAGTTTGACCACTTTTTTTTAATTGTGTCTGGTCCAATTCCCGATCCATTTAGCTTTACCCTGTTTAATTTATTACCATTTTCCGCATATACTTAGTCTCAAACATTGAATTGTAGGTCTTTTCAAATCTTCTTTTGTTGTATTCATGTGATTTTACTATATATTTCAATGCCAATTTTCTATCTTTACTTAATTTTTCTTGTGTTTTCACCTTTACTCTACTCTAGTATGTTTGTGTTTTCACCTTTTAGTAGATATTTTGGAGAAAACTTTGTTATCGTATGATCTGTTTTATTGTAGGCATCTACGCATTTTTGTGCAACTGGTGCCCATGCAACTTTGTTTTTTGACATTGTTTGTATGGCAGTGAATACCAGTTTTTTATTATTATGCTTAATAAATTGTTTATATTCTTTTGAGTTTATTCCAAGGTATTCATCTGTCAACACTATGTCCATTTGGTAATTGTCTGTTACCATTTTTGTCAATTTTATAAAGTCCATTGCACTTTGATTTTTAGATGTTAAAATAAAAACGTACCTTGTAAAATGGTTAATTAATATATTGAGTTACTTTTTTGTCAAACGACACCCACCAAATCCTCAAACTGTGCAAATATGACAATTATTAAGCTTAATTACTAATGCTTAAGAAAATGGAACTTCACAAGATTCAGTACTTAGTCCTACTACTTAAATAGTATCATTCATAATCTAACCAAACCTCTTAAAGCTCCGTGGGTACCGTAGCACCTACGGAGTAAAAAAGTTCGTACAGGTTTCAAATTTTTAGTTCCAAAAACTTCGGCAGTATTTCACGAAAAATCCTTCACAAATCTGCCAAAGTTGTATAACTTTACAGTGACATTTAAACCAACTGCAAAATGCCCAAAAACTGTCCTGACAGGAACAAATAAAACAGACTATATCCGAATATTATTAAAGATTAAACTTATTAAAACCACTGGCTAATATAAATCGGGGTGAGAGCAAACCACGCTATTGAGAGTATATTGAACATTAATAAGGTCTAAAATAGATTACAGGTCAATTGCATATCATATGCCTCAGCCTCAATAACAACAGTTAAAAAGTTTGAGACTGTATATAATATTGTAATTAGAATTGCTCTTGGAACATTCCGTACAACTCCTATCGAAAATTTACTGAATGAAGCCGGTGATCCACCCCTACTTTACCAATTGTCTAATTATTTCAATTTCATCAATTTTTGTTAGTATAATATCTACGATTTTCATTGGAAATACGTGCATGAATTTCGCTACTTACGGAATTCTTCTGATTGATTTATGTGCCCAGATATGTAAAAGCATCCACACGTTCAATGGTATAGTTGTCTATTGCTATACTATTTTCATTCTCAGGTGTTCTTTTGATGGTCATATACTTAGTTTTTGTTTCGTTTATTTAAGCCCTACAATCTCTACAATCTTCTTGGATGTAGCACAGGCGTTTGATAAGGTCTGGCATGACGGTTTAAACTATAAACTAAGAACGTTCATGTCTAAACAGTATTCAGAAATCTTGGAATCATACATTGCGAATAGATATTTCAGAGTAAAACAAGAAGAAGTGTACACCGACTTAAGGGAGATCAAAGCTGGCGTGCCACAAGGAAGTGTCTTAGGTCCGGTCCTGTACCTATTGTATACGTGTGACATTCCAGAGCTAGAACAAAATACTATTGCCACCTTCGCGGATGATACAACCATACTAGCGATAGGAGACACTAGTGAAGAAGCAACTGATAAATTGCAACTATCAGTAAATAAAATACATAACTGGACCAGAAAATGGCGAATAAAAATTAAATGAAACTAAATCTGCACACATTAACTTTACAAATAAAAAAATAGAAAATTTCCCAGTTAGAATAAATGATACCCGATTTCCTTATACAACATCAGCAAAATACTTGGGCATCACCCTAGACGCGAAGCTGCGCTGGAAAGTCCATGTCAAAAAGAAAAGAGGGGAGCTTGATATTAGATATAAGAAGTTGTATTGGCTGATTGGAAAAAATTCAACATTGTCAATTCATAATAAATTATCCATCTACAAGCAAGTACTGAGGCCAGTATGGGTATATGGGTGCCAACTCTTGGACTGTACCAAAGCTAGTAATCTACTTATTATCCAGAGATTTCAAAATAAAGTCCTGAGAAACATTGTTGATGCTCCTTGGTATATCCGTAACAGCAACCTCCACCAGGACCTGGGTATGGAAACTGTGATCGAAATAATCAAGAGAACAGCAGCAAGTCACGAGCAGAGGCTGCATAGTCATGTGAATGTCGAGGCAATCCAGCTTCTTGACAACACTGAACTAAAGAGAAGACTCATAAGGACAAAACCATTTGAGCTAGTGTAAATGTGTAACAGTTTAGTATAAAAAGCAGTGTATAGTGCTGTGAAGTTATTGCATGCTAGTTGTAGTGCATTATTTAATAGATAAAATAAGAGTAAGCCATAGGGTAAACCCTTAGATTTAAGTATTTGCTGTTATTATGTTAGGTCAGAAAATAACTGATAATTGGTCATTTGTGACCAGATAGCAGTATACAAACACCGCGCATGTGTTAATAAAAAAAAATTTAAGCCCTCTTTTTTGTTCTTCAGAATCAATTTCCTTGAACGTTTCCATTAGTCGTGTCTTGTTTTTACTAATAATGGCGACATCGTCCGTATATGCAATAATTTGTACTGTTTTCGTGTTTATATGGCCGGTTACATTGGTTTTTCTGATGACTGCTTCAAGAACTAGGTTTAACAGCATGATTTAAAGTGTGTCTCTCTGTCTTACCTCCACGTTGATGTCAAACAGGGGAGACAGTATTCATCTACTCTTCTAGTTCTACATCTAACTGCGGCTTGTGAACTCTACAACGTCGTTTTTGAGGCCGATATATTTTTTTTGTATACTTAGATTTCGAAGGTCTTCCAGCATTTTGTCTCTTTCCACACTATCAAAATCTTGTTTAAGGTATATATTATACATATTATATAATTTCATGTCGTACCTATTCATAAACTTATTCTTGTATTGTTTTAAGTATGAATATGTTGTCTGTAGTAGCTGTATTTGATCTGAATCTATTTTAATGATCACCAAGTATATTTTCGAAGTATTCTGACGATCTAAAGTAGATACTGCTAAAAACTATATTGTATATTATATTTACCAATGTAATTGGTCTGTATATACAATGTTTAAAGCCTCCAATATGCCATTACGTCTATATAGTGTCATTCTTTCCAACCGTCTCAGTGCAATTTTAGCCATGCAAAATCTCTACGTGAAACATCTCCTAGGAAAAATGATAAAATTGGAACTTCAGAAAGTCCAACAAACTGAGAACGGTAAACTTCTTGTGGATACCTTTTCAGAGGGGGGATAATAGGGAAATTTCCGCCTTTCCCCCAAGAAAGTCCCAAATTAAAGAAAACCTATTATTTATGTCTTCTGTGTAGTTTGGGTTTATCTATTTTATGTCTTTTGGCTGATGTTTCATAAAAAATTCCCCCCCCCCCTAAGTTTAAAGTTCCTCTTTGAAGGCAAATGTTTTGATTTGCCACTGGCTTTCCACATTAATATCCAAAGCAATGAATTAGCAGATGTAAGTTCTTGCGAAGCTACGAATGTAATGACGAATCAGAGATTAACTATTCTTCTTCTTCTTCATGTACCATGTCCTTTCAGAACGTTGGTTACCAACATAGCTATTTTAATTTTATCCACTGCCACCCTAAATAGCATGCTTGTATCTACACCACACCAATCTTTCGCAAAAAAAAAAAGCATCAAGCAGCGTTCTCTGCTTGATGCTTTTTTATGATCTCAGTAGTCTTGCTGAGACGTTCTAGTAATGTGGAGTTACGAATCTTCTCCACCCAGGAAACTTTTAAAATTCTTCTATAGCACCACATTTCGAAAGCCTCAAGGCGATTTAGATCGATTTTATTCACAGTTCAGGACTCGACAGCATAAAGTAAGACCGAGAACACGTAGCAGCGAAGTAGGGCGGATCCTTAATGCCAATTTTAGGTCTCTGTTACATAACACCTTGGACATCCTTTTAAAAGCAGCTCTAGCCTGCTCTATTCTGGATCTAATTTCGCCGTGATTTTCTGCATTACAATTTAATTGCTGTCCAAGGTAGACGATTTTATCAACTTGCTCAAGTTTGGTATTATTTACATATATAGACGGTTTTATATTCTGTTGTTTACTTATTACGAGTATTTTGGTTTTCCTTATGTTAAGATCCAGACCTGCCGCCCTACAACTCTAAACGACACTATCAAGTAGTGTTTGTTTGAGTAGATTATAAAAATAATAAATATATCAAATATATAAATAAAGTATCAAGTGCGTTAAGTTAAATTCGTTTTGACACTAAAACAGACACGTCTAAGACTGGGACATAGTAGATACACACCCACCCCTATTCTCTAACAGCAAAGTTCCAAAGTATTCGATATGTGATGTCGCACCCTCAGTGCAAAACTGCAGTGCAAAACTGCAGTGCAAAACTGCAGTAAGTCAGAATAAGTAAGTTTCGAGGTAAAGACGATTTTGTTTATTTTCGTGCTAATACCGGTGAAATAAGACACAATCTTTCAGAAAAATTAATATTTGACTATTATTTTGCATGCATTTCAGCCTATATTACATTAACCAAAAAATAGAAATTTAAATAAAATAATATTATTGCTAAAAAAATTAGAAATGTCAAAGTTACAACACTTTTGCACGGAGAAAATTGTAAAAAGTGTAGACACATTTTCTGTTAGTTGTTGTCTTCTTCTCGTATATCATCTTGGGCCATAATATTTTGACAAAAACTATGGTGAGCTTCTGGTATCATACCTGAATGGCATAAGTATACCAAATCTTTCTTTTTGACCATTTGAATTTAATCTGAACAGCAATCGGGGATTAGTATGGTATTAAACTTTGCATTAAAATAGATTCCAAGAAATCAGATAGCTATCTAGAATAAATAGGTACCTAATAAAACGGCTTATCGCTAGCAGCAATTTAATCTTTTTATATCTGATGTTTCTGATAGCCACAATTCGGTAGAAACATTATTTGTAAAACTTTCAATATTTTTATTTAAATTGAAAACAAAAGGACAATCGCCCCAGAAGGTTACATGAAGATTGATTAGATTTAAATGAAGATTTAATAAATTGAAGATTTTTAAAGATTTAATTTGGGATTTAGTTTTTATTGTGAACAAGTTTTCTGAGAATAGATATTTTTAACCTGTCAGTATTACACAAATTTTATGATAACTGTTATACCTTTCATAAGAAAAAATACTTTTTGGCTGTAAATAGTTAGTCTTAATTTATATGTTTTTAATGCAATCTAATAAATAAATGGTCAAACGACATCGCACACATTTTATGGAAAATATAATATCACACAAAGGACATAAAACTTACATGAATAGATTGGTCTCCTAAACCTTTGTTTATTGTCTCGGCTGTTAATGGATTACGTAGACACGCTGTATAATAAAATTAAACACCACAGATATAGATATTAAAATAACAAATATCTTACTTTTTTCATGCCTTTCATTGCTTGTTATCGAAACCATTGCAATGTTCCATGCAAAACTGTTGTAACTTTGTTACATTAGAATTACAACAGTTTTGCACGGAACTTATGTACAAAAACGCAAAATAGTTAAACTGTTGTTGTTGTAATATTTAGCTGGTTAAGCATTTGAAAGTTACTAAAGTTTTATAGGGGATAGATATACATGTTTACATTCGAATTCCATGATTACTTCATTTTCATAAAATTTTAAGTTACTGCAGTCTTGCACTGAGGGTGCGATGTATGTCGTAACTTCGACCTGAAAATACTACTTTCGGTCTAGTAATGTAAATTACTTCCCCAGTGCATAAAAATTTACATTGTACATTAACCAGCAACTAATAATCGATATACCAAGTTTAGTTTTTGATTTTTAATTGTAAATTATTTTTTAGCTTTAGAAGCAGCTGACATAGATGATATGTTTAAATTTGAAAATATTAATCTATTTTCACAAGTTTTGTTTTTTAACAAATTTATGACTGAAAGCAGCAAGGCCACGTTGAACCATCCGAATCTTCAAAAACTTCTGGAATCAAACGAAAAATTTGACGTTATAATTCTCGAACAATTTAAACAGGAAGCTTTGCATGTTCTACAATGCCACTATGAAGCTCCATTAATATTACTAAATACGTTGGGGGCGAACGTTTGGATCAACCCGTATGTCGGCAATCCTGCTCCTCCGTCATACATTCCAGATACTTTTAGTCAGTACTCAGAAAAGATGGATTTCTGGGAAAGGGCATTTAATTCGATTTTAATACTATTTGAACGAGTTCTGTTGTATTTTTCAATACATCAAAATCAATATGAAATGGCTATCTCAAAGTTTCCTCATTGCGCAAATGAAAATTTTTCAAACAATATATCTCTAGTATTTTTAAATGCTCACGAAAGCACAACACAAGCGGTGCCTTTAGTGCCAAATATGATTAACATTGGTGGATTTCATATCGGGGAACCCAAAGATTTGCCAACAGATTTGAAAAATATATTAGATAGTGCTAAAGAAGGTGTAATCTACTTTAGTTTGGGTTCTAATGTTAAAAGTTCAGATATTAACTCAGATATAAAGCAGGCAATTTTAAAATCCTTGGGAAAACTTACGCACAAGGTACTGTGGAAATACGAGGATGAAAGTCTTAAACCCCCGAAAAATGTCGAAATACGGAAATGGTTACCTCAACAAGATATTTTAGGTAAGTCAATGCATATTTTTTTATAATTTAATATAATTTATAATATAAGTTTTCGTTTTGACACTTTTAAAATTTTCCATTTCTTGACATCGGTTTACTTCTCGATTTCAATTGTTTATTGTTATTGTAACAAAAAAATGCTTGTGGCTATTTATATTGAAACTGGTGATTTTGCACGTCATCATGCGATGGAGGATCCAATCAATTGCCATCTACATTCACTACACTCAATTTTTTTCACTTCCTCGAGTGAGAGCACAAAGCTCGAGTTTTGTATTATATTTTTTACCGATTACCAAATTAGCAAACAATATTTTAAGATTAACAAACTTTGAAAATAAATAAAAATTAAATTTTTTTAATAAAAAACTTCTTGCATGAAAGGGCCGGTTTTTTCATCTTCAAATAAATAGTCTCATATCTGACAGATAGTTATCTGGAGGATCGACATTTATTTATAAAGTAAAATGTACCCGTCTTTTCACGCCGAATTATGTTGCGGTTACTTATATGTGAGATAAGAAGTAATGGGAACACGAGAAGCTTTTTTTGTTTTAAATGTATTAACACAACGATGCAGAGACATGAATGTAGATGTATATGCATGTTTAATTGATTATCGAAAAGCATTTGACTGCGTTATGCATCAAAAGACGATCAAAATTCTGAGAACAACTGGAATCGACGAACAAGACTTGCAAGTTACCTCAGTTGCCTCAGAACTATATTGGCACCAAACGGCAGCAATTGAAATAGAGCACACAGCATCTGAAGATATACGAATCTGACGAGGAGTGCGACAAGGTTGCGTCTTATGACCATTATTATTTAATCTGTATTCGGAATCTATATTCAGAAAAGCATTAGATGAGATTCAAGCAAGCACCGCACAAGAACTACAAAATATAATAAGTGCAGTAGTTTATCACAGCAAAATGTTCGGTTTACATCTAAATGTTTCCAAAACTAAAATTCTAGTATTTTTAAAGATACTAACAAACGTACAATCAAATATTTGGGAGCAAATATCAACAGCCAGTGTAACCCAAAAAAAAGAAATCCTGTCAAGAATCGGACACAATTTATTGTATTGGTGTATTAGGCATGCGGTCTGTTATTAAAAAAAACTCTTTTTCTTTTATTACACTATATTCCGCTGATTTTTTGTCAGCTTCATCAGGATACAACTAAAGTATGGTTAAAATTTATATAAATATCAGGTGAGAATAAACAATGTTTTAATTACAGATTTATAGTTAAAAATAGTTAAAAATGTTGTACATAATGTATTCAAAACATTACTAACAATATTGGTTTAGGTCCACCTAGGTCACTAATAATTAAATTAACAAAAATGGCAAACAAAAACAACCAAGAAACAATTAAAACACAATAAAATTACACACTAAAAATATACAGGGTGATTTAAAATATAATTGTGAACAGAAAAAGTATTTGAACACATCAAGAATATTACAGTAAATATTGCTTAACTGTCCCGTGTCTGCTTTGTAATTTACTGCATATTTTTCTTTATTATTATGACATACTTCTAAAAACAATCTTTGTTCGTAATTTAAATTAATGTGCATTTTTTTTATTTTGGAATCCTATACTTCTATTATTTAATCAATAGCACCAGTATAAGTGAAGAAAATTAGGTAGAATAATTTATTCTCAGAATATAGATCGTAATCGTAATCTTAATCTTAAAGTCAGTTTACTTAATCCATCGAGCAAAAAGACAAAAGAGAGAATCTAATCGTTATGAAAAGGAGACCAATAAAGTAGCCTCTGATGGCGGACATATCCGGAAATGCGAATGCGCCAAATTTAAATTTTCCGACACTTATTAACAGTAGCTATAAAATAGTTGTCAGAATGTGTCTTAGACGAGAAACTTTAAATACATATTAACGATAATAGTCTAAAATGTGACAAAATTGTTAAAAAACTTCAATATAAATAAGACTTCATGTGACAGTTGGGACAAACAATAACATAACCCAACTAAATTTGATTTCTTAAACAAGGAAAGACTCTATTTCCTTGTTTAACGTGGCCTCTCAAGACGGCACTTCCTGTCTAACAATATTTTTACCCCCACTACCCTTACATTCCCTCTTTTGTCTTTTTTCCATGACGTAATCTTAAGAAAACCTCTTAGAAAAGTCTTTATAATTACAAAAATTAAAATGGTCGATTCTGTATCAAATATTATATTTTCTCACTAAGTTTATAAATATTAAAATCATACTCTTCGGTTTTAGTAAATTTTCTAATACCGGATCTATGTCTTGCACTCACAATACACAACAATATTTAGGTTATATTTTTGATTTCGCGATAATAGACAACATAATAACAAACTACAATAATCACAATTTATCTTCCATATAACTTGTTATTCTGTACCTTATTTGACAAATATTTTATATTGGCATATGGCATATATTTTACATTTTATCTGTCAGATAAGTTTATTCATAACAGTTCGTAGTTCAGATTTATTTCCTAGTTGGCGCTAGGTGTTTAAATTCAAACTCACAGAAAGCTTTAAATTATTTCATAAATTTTCTTGTTTCATAAAGTTTCATAAATTTTATCTTAAAATTATAGCAACCATATTTTTGATTTATTATATTAATAAGTAATTAATATTATTATGGCTTCTAAAAACTTGGTTGCTTCCCTCCATTTTTTTTCGGCCCCTTGGTTTCTCTCTCCAATTTCTCACCCCGATTTCTGACAAGTGTTGCTTTACTGCTTACATTCTTCTTACTCTTCCGTCCTCTTCTTTTTCCCCATTTCTCCCCCCTTCAATATTGTTTTAACAACATTTTGATTCTCTGGCATTCGTATTATGTGACCAATCCATCTATTCATTGGTCTTCTCCAAATATTCTCTGCCGTCTTTATTCCTCTGAAGATATTTCTGAACACCTTTCTTTCCCAGATCTCTAATTTCTTTTCTTCCTGCTGGTTTATAGTCCACGTTTCACTAGCATACATCTCTGTGGGTCTGATTCATCGCGTTAGAATCTATGGAGAAGTTATGAGCATATTAACGTATGTATTAAAAACGGCGTAGGTAGGCGTGGCTAACGTTAATACCAATATGGCGGTGGGATCAGGGCCAGACTCAATAATATTAAAACTACTATACAAATATGACTAGTTATTCAGAAGATTTAATCATAATCTAAAAAATGCAATACATTTTTAATAAACTCTGATTTATTTATCCCGCGGTAAACACTAAAAAAACAATATATTATACATAAAGATAAATTAATACAGTCAAATACTATTAATTTATTCTCTGAATTACGGGCCATTACTTTGTTTACATATTTGTATACTAACCTGTGGAACGATATTCCTGAAGATTTTTTATTAACATTGCTTCTGCTACTGCAACTACGTTGAGAACAAGAAACCATTATTATGCACTATCACAATATATTATTACAGTTTCTATAAAAGTATTATAAAACTAAAAATATTCGAAAATCAACAAATGTAAACAAACATACGATCTGTCAAAAGTGTCAAAACAATACGGCCGAAGTGAGGTCGTTTTTATTCACGTGATGCCCTCTCCATAGATTCTAACTCGATGGTCTGATTACTGTCTCGTAGACTCACACTTTAGCTGTTCTTGAGATATTTTTTTCTTTAAGTAATGTATTTAGTGTCCCGTCACTAAATACATTACCAATTTGCGTATGTCAAAAAAACAGTACATTGTTTCATTTTTATTTTTAACACGTTAAGTCCCAAAGCATAAACGCGTTTCTTTTGTCTCAGACCAAACGATTTTTTTGTCCTTCCTACATCAAAATTATATTAGTTTTTGTGGGTGCATGACAATTTGACATTCTGACTCTCAAAACAAGAAAAACATTGTGGTCACTTTTGGTGCACACGGTTTGTGAATGAAATTTTTTATTTTTGGTTTTAGTCCAGACCATGTGTACCACATTGTTTCATACAGTTTTTAATGTATGAACAAAATATATGCAACAAATATACATATTCAAATATGATATTTCATTACATTAACTTATTATTTATAATCTTCTTGTAGTGCTAGCCGTAGCCACCAAACAACCCGAAGGTGCACTCCGATAAATTTACATTGGTAGCTGTCAGACAAATTCGGTGAACTTGCGCCATTTTTTTAATATAGGATGTCAGTGTTTACGATTGCACAAAATCAAATTATTAGCGAAACAAATAATGTGATGATCTGTCAACAACAAACACAAAATGATCGTCCAACGATGTGACTGTGAACTTAAAATATGTCCGCTGACCTGCGCAAGCCAGATGCGCGAACAATTACCGCCGAGTCGAGTGCACCTTCGGGTTGTTCGGTGCCGTAGCTCAATGGCTATGTTACTGGCTTAACAAGCTGGAGTGTTCGGGTTCGAATTCCGGCACCCACAAAATTTTCAATTTGTAATTTAACTCAGCTGTCACCGTGCTTCAGAGGGCACGTAAAGCCGTCGGTCCCAGCTACGAAAGTAGTCGTTAATTTATGTTAGGGGCGCTTATGCGACCTGAAAACCCTAATACTAGACCTTCTCTGACTAGGCCAAAAGGATACACGACCTTTTCTTTTTTATCTTCTTGTGCTTTTGATATCTATAAATTTTATAATTTACAGCTCATCCAAATGTCAAACTATTTATTACACATGGAGGTCTTCTTAGTATGACGGAGACTGTACATTATGGAGTTCCTGTTCTAGTATTGCCAGTATTAGGAGACCAAAAAATGAATGCTGCTAAAGCAGAGCATGCAGGTTATGGAATTAAAATACCATTTTCACAAATAACTGAAGAACGACTTACCAATGCGTTAAACAAATTACTAAATGATTACAAGTAAGTATAGATTTGACAGATTATTATAAGATTTTAGAAAGTATAGCTTTTTGCTACGAGTAACTTTTCTAGCTCTTGACATGCTCTTTGGCGAAACATTTTTTGATGTTTGTTAAACTACATAGTCCAGTCGTCAGAGATTTGACCGACAGAAATAAAAAAAAAGTTTACAGAAACAACGCTTGAAGCGACCAGCGATTTTGAATGGCAGTTGCGCTCGCGAAATTAATGTTAAATAACATTTGTATCAACTATACGGCAAAATTCGATATATTTTAATCAGAGCGTCCTATAGACCAAAATAAAAATGCGTTTTAAAGATGAAGAATGCAGCTTTTGTTTGCAATTTTTGTAATTTGTTGCAAATAAAGTCAGTTTCTATAACTTTTTTCAAAATATAAACGTTGCCCAATTTTTGCCATTTTTGACGATTCTCGTGAGATCAATAGAATTTATCATTTTCATTAACCGGTCGTAGCGTAATGTGACAACATGTATTAGGCATTTGAAATATTGTAACGATTATTTTCCTCCCACATAGGGAATTACTATAAGGGGTTGAAAAATGGGGAGATAAATTCCTGTGGTGGAGATAGAGCAAGCAAAACAAACCGAAACTTTTGCGAACGGCTACTCAGGGTTTATTTGGAGATCTGGGTCATGGATAAGTAAATAAAGCAATGGGATTGGATTGGGGTAACTACAAAAATAAAACGAAGGGGTATTTACATGAATCTCTTGGAACAAAACACAACACAAAAATGTTCTCAAGCTATTTAAAATGGACTCCGCTTAGAAGAATCTTCCTGCTGGATGAAAGAAAAAGGCTCTTCCTTCCTAAACAATATAAAAAGGGGTTAGAAAATTGTTTTGAATAAATAAAAAAATTGGTTTAGGGAAAAAGTATTTATTGCTGTCTCACCACAAACAGTTACAAAAATAAATACAAAATAACAGAGAAAAAACACTCACTATGTTTTATCCGCTCACAAACTTTAGAAGTTGGAGATACTACAAGAACTTACAATTGTTACTGGGTGATAATTTGTAGCAGACAGAAATTATTACAAATGAAAAAAACTTTAAGTCAAACTATGCATAGAGGTTAACCTTTTTCTAAAAAAAACAAAGCAAAACAATATCTGTTATGATTAGTTATTTACGAAATGTAAAAAAAATAAAGCTAGCTGTCAGATGTCAATATTAAATTTTGAAACTGAGAACAATTAATATGCAGCTATACCACACACTAACATCTACAATTTTAATAATTACAATTTCTTAAACTGTAATGGAAGGAATTATTATTACAAAATGTGTATTTTTCCTTTAAAAATTGAACAAAAAACCTTACCTCGATTTCACTAAAATTTCTTTAAAATTTCTGGGGTTAGGAACTGGATTTATACTAGAAACACAAATGCACCTCCATACTGCGGAAAGATTCTGAAATGACTTAGGACAAACAAAATGAGGCTGAAAGTTGGCACTGGAGGTAAACTTTGAAAGTCCGCATCTTAAAAAACTGGAACACATATGGGTATCTTTCAAAGTTGTTGTAAACGTCACAAATCTCTTAGATACTTAGAAATATAGAAACAGTAATTACTCTTTCAAAACTGACACATTACATTGAGTGTAAATTCTTTTTTTAGAACAGATTTTCCAGTTTTTAACACCGACACTCGCCTGCGTCTTTTCACTCAAAGATTCTCCCAAACCTACACTGTAACTAAACATTTAATAGCTACATACTACCAAACTTCAGTATTTCTGATAACAAAAAAAAACAATAAGAAAAAACCATTTCGAATTAGATGAAAATTCGGACCAACACTAAAGTAATTTGCCTTTGACAGCGGCTTCACTGAGAGTGATGTAATTATCTGCTGCGCAAAACCTTCTCAGCAATCTAAGTGGATATTTATTTAACGCGCAATATTAAGCGGCTTAACGATCAAAGATAATACCATAAACATACACGTCTGTAATATATATATATTTATATATATATAAACAACTTTAAAATGTGTTTATTATCAACTCCAGCGATGCAAAAAGATTGAAAATACTTTTTCGATGTTTCAACACATACCGGGTGATTTCAATACCTACAATATGACCAAAAAACTGAATTTAAAGTGTTTACATAACAAACGATGGCAAGTCGCAGAAAATGCATCCAAATAAACGATTTTGGGTGTAATTTGTAGCAGGAGGTGGGTACTTTTGAAAAACGTGCTAGTGTAACAAAACAATATCAGTTTTAAACATTCTAGATCGGTTTTAGTGTTTTTAAGAATATTTTAAATGCCTCACATTTGTTATCAAACTCAAAACTAAAATTTCATGCTATAGGTTTTAAAAATTCAGCTGTAATAATTAAAACACCAGAGGCCAGTCAATGAAAGGGACAAATTGTGTTCATTTCATAATAATTATAAAAAATTGCCAAAATCGTGCCACGGTTATTTATTTAAGACAAGTATAACAACTGTGTTTATTTGCAGGAAAATACAAAATTCGTATACAAAAGCTGCACTCTTTACCTTTAAAATAAATCTTAATTTTTGACAATAGGTCACTCGGATTAAAAGAAATCGAATTGGTACCGTCATGTAGATACAAATAACATTGATTTCGCGCGCATAACTGGCATTAAAAATCACCGATCGCTTCAAGGATTGGTTCTAAGAGAACGGTTCATTTTACACAAAAAATGTTAATAAACATATGTGTTCAAATTATCTCAGCTACTGTAGCGATAAGACTACCAAAGAGAATTGAAGCACTATTATAAAAATAATACCTCAATCAACCATGGGAGCTTATCGTCTGTGCTTTGCCTAGCTCAGTATCTCTAGTATGAGTTCGTCTTGTCTTAAACTAGGAATCAAATAATGAATCCTTAGCTGATAGCAAATAAAACAATTTTTAACTAATCATATTTATTAAAAAAATAATAAAAAAAACAATTAACCGTGCCAATGCTTAACAATAAATATAGTGAGGATGATACTTATGGCATCATCGTTAGGTCCTCTAATAAACAATAAATTTTCATAATACGGTCAATTGATACAGCCAATAAACCGTGAATATGGTTAATAAACTCTTGAATTAGGCCAATAAACCCAAGAGAATGGACCATAAAAATGAAGCATATTATAATTTCTACCTTCTTTTATAAATTTCAATTATAAACAAAAAATAATCCCACCATTAAAGGTGATTGACAGAAAGTAGGAAGGGACTGCATGAAGTTAGCACAGATGTCATAGAATGTTCCTATGTGATGGAATTAGCTTTTCTGTCAACATAGAACAGAATATTTAGTCTACCGGACAGAAAGAGAGAGGGCGAATATTTATTCTACGGGACAGAAAGAGAAAGAAAAGAAAGACAGAGAGCGCGAACTACTTTTTGAAGAAAAAATAGTAAAAACGAATCTGAAAATAAAGAAATTAATAAATAAAATAATTATTTAAATATAAATAAATAAACATGTGACGTTTATAACGTTACACTACATTTTTTATTTGAAATAAATTTTCTATACGTACAGATTCCTGGTAACTCGATTTTTTCCGTTTTCCCCCCTTTACGAGGAAGGTTTTAGGGAAAAGTCCTTGGGTAAAAGTGGTAAACTTGTTTGCATTTTCTTGGCGTCCTTAAATTGATATTCTCGACAAAATTGAGCTTGTTCGTATAATTTTTAAAGGTTCAGTGGTATTTTCGTCTCTGGCTGCTGGAGTAACATGTTTGCAACACTCTAATTTTTTTTCACTCAACTATTTGCTCATCTCTGGTGTTTCGGTTCTCTGAAAAAACAAATGAACGAAAGTCTCTTTCTAAATGTTGTATAGTTTCTGATTTTTTTTAAAGCGAAGAATTTCATAAATTTTGTACATCAAATCAAATTCAAGTAGCAAACAATATTATTTACTGTATTATCCAGAATCTAACATGTAGAAGTGTTTTTGAAAATTGTTGTCTACAGTTGTAAAGTCCTTAAAACTGTATAACACGCGTGACAAAAACTTACCCGAATAGGCGCGTTGTAATCAGTGTTTATTTCCAACATTTAGATAACAGCCTTTACCTAAAATTACTACAATTAAGTAAACTTTATCCAAAAACAACTTCCTTAAATATTTTAACTTAAAATTGATAAACTATAAGAAACAAACTGTTTTTTGAACACATTCTCATTTAAGACACGGTGTAAAGTTTGTTGAGATAATTTTGTTGAACACATTTTACACACATATTATATATGCTTTATGCATATAAATTTTTTACAAAAATGGCATGAAAAACGCGTTTTCCGATACTATAGTAATAAACTGTGATGGTACACAAGGCAAATATCGAACACAGTAATTAATCAAATCTTGCCCAAGTACTTTCGATCACAAGATCATCCTCAGGGGAATCTGAAATAAGCCAAGAAACGTTTTTTTAAAAAAGGAAAATTAATTCACTTGGATAAAAACTCCAAGTTTATAGTTGAAAAAAGTTTTTAAGTGATTGACGTTTATAGACTTACTTCGTCAGTTGTGGACTATCCAGCAGTAACAAAATGTCATAAATGTAAATTGAGACATAAATACACTAAACAAAGACAAACAAACACTTTAAAATTTAAAAATTGGAGAAGCTACATTTTATATAGAAGCCGGAGACAGAATGGCTCCCAGCCTGGCGGAAGCGGAAATATTGAGATGACATGTGACAAATGACAGCTTGTGAAGGGCAGTTACAATAGATAAGTGATCTGCGCCTTTCAAGATTCTATGAAACTAAGTATTGACCAAAGGTCCAACTGACACCACTATAGGAAAACAACTGAAGAAATATAAAATTATATCTAATATTTTTATGTAGATCGAATAATCCAGATCTCACACTCAAACCTGTCTATAATAATTAGGATGTTAGTTTGAGAGCAATTGAAGTTGACATAAAGTATTAATGTAAGAAATAGACTAAACAATATATTAGACAGTGGATAGTTGACTACAATAAAATGGTCCACTAAGCGCTATCAGTACTGTAAAAAGAAAATCTAAATATTCAGTTGAATTGCTAAAAATTAAAATCAAAATTAAAAGCAAAATATATAAATGGGTTATAATCCAAGTAGTTCAGTTGAATCCACAGTCAATGGAAGAACTTTCAAATTAATATGTAAATACTCAGTGCATGAAGTCTAAACAGTCGAGCTGGGCCCTCTACGAGATGGAGCTGTAATAAAGTTTTTAAATATAGGATTAAATTTAGTACAATTTAAATTAATTTGAGTATTAAGACAGTGAGAGTTTTCATTTGTTTCCCTTGTAATCTCCAAATCTTCCAATAAATCCAACTCAAGATAGTTTTTCTTTCTACTAATGTCATGTAAGATAGATGAACCAGAATTGATGTTAAAATTGTGGTTGCTGGATACTAAGTGTTGACCAAAAATTGAAGAGTTTGGTCTTTTCAAATGTTCAGAGACTCTAGTGGATAACTTTCTGTTGGTTCTACCTACACAAGAGGCATCACAATCATCACATTTTAATTTGTAAATACCACTTTTATCAAGTGGTATTATACCACATCCTATCTTTGGTATTGAACTGAACTACTTGGATCAACTGAATTGTATCAACTGAACTACTTGGATTATAACCAATTTATATATTTTGCTTTTTTAATTTTGATTTTAATTTTTAGCAATTCAACTGAATATTCAGATTTTCTTTTTACAGTACTGATAGCGCTTAGTGGACCATTTTATTGTAGTCAACTATCCACTGTCTAATATATTGTTTAGTCTATTTCTTACATTCATACTTTATGTCAACTTCAATTGCTCTCAAACTAACATCCTAATTATTATAGACAGGTTTGAGTGTGAGATCTGGATTATTCAATCTACATAAAAATATTAGATATAATTTTATATTTCTTCAGTTGTTTTCCTATAGTGGTGTCAGTTGGACCTTTGGTCAATACTTAGTTTCATAGAATCTTGAAAGGCGCAGATCACAGATTTATTGTAACTGCCCTTCACAAGCTGTCATTTGTCACATGTCATCTCAATATTTCCGCCTCCGCCAGGCTGGGAGCCATTCTGTCTCCGGCTTCTATATAAAATGTAGCTTCTCCAATTTTTAAATTTTAAAGTGTTTGTTTGTCTTTGTTTAGTGTATTTGTTATGTCCCAATTTACATTTATGACATTGTGTTACTGCTGGATAGGCCACAACTGACGAACTAAGTCTATAAACGTTAATCACTTAAAAACTTTTATCAACTATAAACTTGGAGTTTTTATCCAAGTGAATTAATTTTTCTTTTTAAAAAAAACGTTTCTTGGCTTATTTCAGATTCCCCTGAGGATGATCTTGTGATCGAAAGTACTTGGGCAAGATTTGATTAATTACTGTGTTCGATATTTGCCTTGTGTACCATCAAAGTTCATTTATTCGAATATTCAACCTTATATTGACTATAGTAATAGTGTAATAGAAATAACTATTATACTTGAAGGAAACTCGATAAAATATAATATTTTTAATACCTACAATATCCACCCACTAGTTTTGTTATTTTAACATGTTTTAATGTCCTTATTATTTATGTTGATTATTCTTTTAAACGCCATACTAATATCTTAGACCTTCTGAGAATATTTTCTAAACTGAGACTTGTTACTCTGAAATCTAAAAACAAAATATTGATAAAGTTAAACGATAATATGTTATTTACTCATTTTGGTTGTAGATATTTGGAAACAGCACGAAAACTATCAACTTTATCTCGTGATCGCCCGGTGAAACCAATGGATTTGGCTATTTACTGGATAGAATATATTGCAAAACACAAAGGGGCTCCTCATTTACGTGTAGCAGCACTAGATCTTACCTGGTACCAGTATTTGCTACTAGATGTCATTGCATTTGCAGTTATTGTAGTTGGCATTGCATTTACAACTATCTATGTTCTGTGTAAAAAGTGTTTTTGTAAAAAGATCAAAAAATTCAAAAGAGATTAAAAATATGTTAAAATTAATTTTGTAAATAAATATTTATATTTTGTTTATTTAAAAGTTTTTTAAACACACCCACACTCGCACGGTTTTTCTATACCTCTTCTTCCATTAACTTAGAACCTAACAGCTGTATCCTTTATCCCACATAGTATTCATCTCTACGTCTGACATAACCAAGCCATTGCATTCTTTGTTCTTACAAACCGCCGTACGCCAATCCAGGTCTCACCATAATCTTGTTAATCTTTCCTTTTAGCCCTTTCACTTTCCCTTCTATCTTTTAATCACAAAGTACCCTGCTCACTCGTTTCCAGTTAAACCAACCAGCCTGTATCCTGTAAGCAATTTCTCAATCTAGTGTCTCATTTTCCATTATGTAGGAGTCAAGGTATTTAAATTCGCTTACTTGTCCTAGCTTTTCTCCAAGCAATTCTACGAACCCAACCATTCCTTTTTCTCCCAATTACATATACTGTGTACTCCAACATTTCTTTTGTGCTCCTCTACTAACACGATATCATCGACAAAGAGCATTGACCTAGTCCCTTACTTTCTCTGTCAGTACATCCATAAAAAGAATAAACAGGCAAGGTCTCAGTGAAGAGCGATTATGCCAATCAACTCTTACTGGAAAACTTTCGGTCAATCCGACAGCAGTCCTTATTTTAGTGTACACTCCCTCATTCATATCTTTCACGAGCCTTACGTACTTCTCAGGAACCTATTTTTCTGTCATACATCTCCACAGCTCTTGTGTAGGAACTCTGTCGTACGCCCTCTCAAGATCTATAAATATCAAATATATGCTCTCTTGCAGTATTTTTCTATCAATTGTTTTAATCCAAACAAGGCATCCGTTGTCCTTCTTCCTGGCATAAACACAAACTGTTCTTATCATATCGATATCTCTCTCCTTAACCTTTACTTTACAGTTCTCTCCCAAATTTTCATTTTGTGCTACATTAACTTTATACCTCTGTAGTTTTTACAGTCCTGAATGTTTATAAGTCCTTTATCATTGTGTATTACCATCAGACTCTCTCTCCATAAATTGGACATACCTTCTACCTTATATATCCTACTCATCATTTGCGACAAAATATAAACCTATTCTTCTGCTAGAGCCTTCCAAATTCAGATATTCTATCAGACTGTACTGCCTTGTTCTGTTTAATATCTCGAAAACTTCATCTCTCGCTATCCCGGTATTACATTCTCATTTGGGATTCCGCATCATCAGTCTCTCCTCTGGTGTTCGTCATTTAACAACTTACTACAGTACTCATACCATCTTTGCTTTATTTTAACATTGGTTTTTAATACTCTTTCATCCAGATTCTTAATCTGCTGCACGTAGGTCAAGTCATTTGATGACTTTTCCCTTACTGTAGCAATGTTTTATAATCTTTCAATCCCCTCGGTTGTTTCCAACTCTTCATACAACTGTGCAGATAACTTTTACTTGGCAGTAGCTACAGCTCGCTTTGTTACCCTCTTTGCCATCTTATGTATATCCTTATCTTCCTCCTTTTTAAACCTGTCACCTCTTTCTAGCCTATTTCTTCTCTCTAACCTTCTGTTGCACCTCATCGTTCCACCATCAACTTTCTTTGTCTCTATGGGGCCCTTTGCAAGATGTTTCTCCTAGTACTAGTACTAAAAAACATGTTAAAATTAATTATATATATATATATATATATATATATATATATATATATATATATATATATATATATATATATATATGTATATATATATATATATATATATAAAATAACGGATTTCCATCTTTTTCTGTCATATGCAGTTGTCTCTTCTAAGTCTCTTGCCGTCATTTCTTCATCAACATCGTTGCGTCAACTTCTCCGTGGTCGTCCTCTCTTTCTTCTTTCAGGAGGGTTCCATTCCAGTACTCCTCTAGGCCATCTGTACTCTGACATTCGTTTAACATGTCCGAATCAGATTAATTGTTTTCTTTGTATGTCATCAGTGATATTTCGCTCCATTTTCATTTCGTTTATTATTTGTTCGTTTCTAACTCTCTCCAGTTTCGATCTACCGCAGCTTCGTCTCAGATAATTTATTTCTGTCGTCGTAAGTTTGTTTCTATTAGCTTTGGTGACGTCCCATACTTCCGAACCGTAAAGTGTAATACTTTGGACTATTCTACTGTAAATGTGTTTTTAGGTTTCTCGTCGAATAGTTTTTTGCAAGAGAAGAGATTTTAAGGCAGGGGTCGCTGCTCTGCCCTTGTTTATTCTTTCCCTGATTTCATCTGTATAAATCAATACTTTTAATATTTTGTTTTTGTTAATGTATTAATCATTTGAGAATTAGGTTTTTTTAAACACACACACATACATACATACATATGTTATCATCATTCTCAGCATATTCTATTATGGTGTATTATGGTGTAGCCTCCCTTACATATTCATTCTTTATATCTGTCCACGATTGTCTAAAGTTCTCTTGACGCCTCTTGGAGACCACAGTATAATTCTAGTGGACTATTGTCAGTTCTTCTAGCTAAATGTCCAGCCGACTGCCATTTTAAGAATTTAATTCTATGGATTACACCAGAAACCTTGATTTTCTCTCTGATCCATTCTGATCTTTTTCGATCTCTCTTTATTATATCTAGCTAGTATCGTTCCATTATCCTCTGAATGTGAACAGAGCTAAAAAAACGATGCCGCTAAAGCCTCGCAGGTTAAATATATTTGTCTTTGACAACAATTTGACTTTGACTATAAATGGCTCAGAGGAAAAGGGAAAAGTCAATGCTGAGTATATCGCTTCGTGGCGAAGTTAGAAATGAATACTTAAGACGAAAACCACGAGTTACGGATGTAATTTCCCGAATTACTACACTCAAATGTAACTGGGCCGGACACGTCGTCCAAATCAATGATGAAAGGTGGACGAAGAGATTGCTTCAGTGGAGGCCGAGGTTAGACAAAAGAAGTAGAGGAGGACCCCCTACTCGTTGGACTAACGATCTGAAGAAAATGTCAAGAAATTGGATAAAAAGTGCTCAAGATAGAGCACAATGGACAAAAATGAATGAGGCTATATCCAGCAGTAGACGCAAAGGGCTGTATGATGATGATGACATTTGACTTTCAGAAGGCATTGTCTTTTCCCAAACTCACAACTTCTGTAGCCTACTATTATCGAAATCTTTATATCTACAACTTATGCATTTATTGTTTTAATAACAACACTACCTATATGCACGTCTGAGATAAGAGTAATGGAGGAAAGGGTTTTAAAGATCAAGTTTCATGCCTTAGGAAAAATTTGTATAAATATGCCAGGACATTCAAACACGTTGTTCTATTTTCTGACTCATGCACTGGGTAAAATAGGAATATAAAAACTAGAATTACTCTGCTAAAACTTGTTTAATACCCTCTATTGGATGTGGAAGCAATTGTGGAAGGAATTTGGTATAATGGAGACAGCAGCAAGAAACATAGGATAATCAAAATGAGCCTGATGACTGATACAGCATCATTAAAACTGCAAAAGTGAAAAGGCCCCAGTTGGAAGTAAAACTAAAACGAGAAGAGTTTTTGACCACAAAATTCCTTAAAAATTTATTCACAAATAAAAAAACTAAAGGTAGACAAATGAATTAACTTAAGATATGGTGGTTGAGGTTTAAAAAAGAAGCACCTTTCCCAATAAAAGTAAATGAATCTTTCAGTGAAGTTTCGAGTTTCCAAACCTTGAACATCTCGAAAAAGACAAGTAAAACATAGCCTAGAAGACCAGTGGAAGTGCAAACCTTGTTGACTGTACAGCATGATCAGCTTAACCTAACAAAAGACAAATGAATTTCAAAAAAAGGAGGACATGTCTCTGCCACCTTACATACCTCCTATTCATCATGGATACTTCAGAAACCTTCAGGGAATCAGCCAACTCGTCAAATCCAGGACAACGAAGCGACTATCATCTTAATATCGACGGCGACGATTCGTTTTTTTTATATCAATTAACTTTTCCTTTCACCTAAGAAGTAATTTTTTTTTAATATTTCTAGTATGATCTCTAAGTAGATGTAAAAATAAAGTGTTATAAAAACACTACAAGTGGGTTCATTATCTTTCTAAAATTCTTTGGAATAAATTTGAACTAAGTCCACTTTTTTGAATTTTTGGGAGTTATTACATCAAATTTGGCCAATACAAGCAATACAAATGTCTAAGTTACTCCTTAAATTGAATATATACTTTTAAAAATGTTAACGGGTAGCAAAATCATGTTATGAAGCTATACCTTTAAACCTCTGTAGCTCAAATGTAGGTAAAGTGCACTTGGTTCATTTTCATTCTGAACCTCTTTATTTGACATTTCGATTTTCACTCCGGAAATAGTTCTCAAAAAAGGTTTTTTGTCCAAATTATGTAAAAATGTGTAGAATTAAAAATTTTGTTATAGGTTATTTTATTTCAAAGTTCACATTCTAGACCTAGATATTGTAAGCCAACAGCCCATAGTAGGGATGGGGAAAACCTACCGGTTTTAACCGAAAACCGTTTTTTACTTCGCAATAACCGGTTTTATCGGTTGTTTTATTGTCCCGGTTATAACCGGTTTTTTATTTTTAAAGTAAAAACCGGTTATTAGGTTTTTATGGTGATTAGGATTAGGTTAGGTATTATTTTGGATTCCAATCATAATTATTATTCTCAAGTAATTATTACAAACAAAACCATAATTCAAATTTTATTTTATTTTATAAATACAGAAGCACACTCAAACTCACATCAGCCAGAAACAATTAGTTTCAAGTTTTATTATAATATTTCGTTGAAAAGGTATTTGAAAACAAACTAATGGTATTAAATCATAGTGCCTATACTGCTTCCATGACGCAGCAGTATAGGCACTCTGATTTAATACTTTGAGTTTGTTTTTAATCCGACGTCGGCCGACGTCGCCAGATATCGAATCGGGAGAAATACGGTTCCAATGTAGGTGTACACTAATTCCACAATGTCAAAAGTAGTGACAGGTCTTCCGTTTGTTTACAAGTTT